CACCTCCTAGAGGGGACAGGCCCCTGCCCCATTCCCAGCCCCCCTGAGCCAGCCAGTCCCCGCCCTAAGGCTGAGCAGACCCGGTGCCCCCCAACTTGTCCTCTTCGGCGCCCCCCGGCGGCCGCTCAGGGCAGCTCCAAGAGGCCGTGGGTGGCGTAGAGCTGCTGGGTGATGTTATACACCCTGGCGATGGTGCCGACGGCGTCCAGGAGCACGGCCCGGGCCTCCTTCTCCCCCTCGGCACAGACGAGCCCGTACAGCTCCCGGCGCGAGGGCAGGGCCAGGAAGGCCAGCTCGGCCGCCTGCCGCACCCACCAGCCATGGTACCGGGCCAGGGCTGCCTGGTAGGCCTCGGCACACAGCTGGGAGGGGTCTTCCTCCACCCCACTGCGGCCCAGCTTGCCCAGGAACAGTTCCAGCCACTTGAGGGCCCGGTGGAGGCGCAGCAGGGTCCGGCTCCCCGAGGGGGGCTGGTCCGGGGGCAGCACCCGGAGCCCCACCTGGCCGCGCCGCAGCTCAAAGGCCACCATGGCCTGCAGGGTGTGGTAGTGAGGGGCGTGCGGCCCCGAGCGGTGTCCCTCCAGGATCGCCATCTTTGTCTGCGTCTCCCGGGCCAGGAGCCCGAACGCGGCCCCCAGAGCGTCAATCAGTCTGCGGTGAGGCGGGGAGAGAGAGAGAGAGGAGGGACAGCTGAGCTCTCCGCCCGGCGCTGAGATGTGGTGACCTCTGGGGCGGGGCGGCTGGTTACCCAGGGACCCCTCGCCCGGCACTGAGATGCAGCCACCTCTGGGGCGGGGCGGCCGGTTCCCCATGGACCCCTCGCCCGGCGCTGAGACGCAGCCACCTCTGGGACGGGGTGGCTGGTTACACGGGGACCCTCGGCCGGCACTGAGATGCGGCCACCTCTGGGGCAGGGCGGCCAGTCAGGGCCGGCTTTAGGAAGTGCGGGGCCCGATTCGAACAGGTTCGACGGGGCCCCGACAGGGATGAAACTAAAAAACCAAAACAAAAACCAAACGCGGGCGT